ATTTTCGATCTTTAATTAATTCTTTAACATATCTATAATAATTTTTTATTATTATTCTACTGCAACTGCCCACAAAAAGGAAAGAGCCCCGAACACATCCATAACAATCACTAGCTGCCCTTGAAATCAGCACATAAAGCTACTTCTACCTCCATCCAATTCAAACGGCACCAGTACAAAACTACAATTCATACAAAATCAGTTCACTTTTTTATATTTCTTTTCTCAAAAAGGAGGACCACCCCCGGCCTTCCAGTGTCACATGGAATCCATGTTGATACAAAAGTAGTAGTGGGATGCCGTGCAAAACACCGTCCATCGCCCTCGGCCTCTCACCCTGAAGGCCGTCAGTACACAGCGTGTGTCTTCTATATATAGACGCACACACCCTAACATAGTTTCCACACCACCGCATCGATCCCCCCAACCACACCAACCACCGCCGCCACCGCAAAAGACCGAACACCTGAGGAGAGGGCCGGCGCCTCTCCCCAGCCCCGACATTATCCTTCCTTGCCTAGAAGGCTAGAAGCACAGGTAACTGAATGCATGCGGATGTGTTCTTGCGATGAACAATTGAACATCGATCAAACAGTAGCTCCTGTGTTTCTTGTTGCATGCAAAGTGGAGTAAGATATATTTGTTGTCGGAGCTGAGATGTTGGTGTGCATGCGTGTGTGTGTTTGTTTGTGTTGTGTAGCGCGGCGCATGGATCAGCGGGAGGGCAGCAGGAAGCGTGCGCGGGGAGAGGAGGAGGAGGGGGACTCGCCGCCAGCGAAGATGTCGGCTCTGGCGGCGGCGGCGGCGGCTGATGCGCAGGCGGAAGCGGCATTCCATGAGGCGGCGCCGGCGGTGGTGGAGGGCGGGGATGGGGATGGGGATGCGTGGAAGCCGCCGCCGGGGGTGTTCGACTTCCCGTGGCTGAGTTGCCACGGCGGCCTGGACGCCCCCGTCACCAGCCCCCTGGTGGAGCTCCGGGAGGTGTTCTTCCGTTCGGCTGTGGACGGGCACGTGGCGGCGGTGGGCGTGCCCGGCGACCGCTTCATCGCGCCGCCGAGCAACATGATGCTGTTCGTCGTCCTGGAGGAGTGGGTCGTCACCGCCGGCGACGACGAGGTGGACCCCATGTGGCGCGCCGTGCTCGAGGGGGCCAATCCCGCCGCATGACGCAACGTGGCGATCGAGGTCAGCACGGAGCCCGGACCCCACCCGCCCGAGGTTCCGTCCGTGTCAGCGGCGATGCGCTGACGTCGCTGGATAGAGAGGTCGATGATCCTAGCTAGGAAGGAAATCATGGATGCATCTGACGAGAGGGCGTCCCGTTCTTGTTGCTTTGCTTCTTTCTCCTCGCTTTACTTTTCTGTGTGTAAGATAAGATGTTTCAGTTGTCAGTTTTGAGTTTATGTGCGTTGGAGGGTCTGGGTCTTGTACTCTTGTTGCAGTCGCCCCAAATCAATAAAAACTTGAGCCAAGTTCGTGCTAGCAGTGGTTAACTGAATTGTTCTGCTCCCTCCTATCCAAAATAAGCATCATAGTTTTGAACTACAATTTGCCTAATTCACATTTAGATATTTTCTAAGAATGTCACATCTAAACTCTCACAAATACACAACAACAAGGAATAAAAAAAATAAAAAAAAATAGACCACAAATATAGTAGATATCAGGTTAGATGTGACATAACTATGTCACATCTAAATGTGTCTTAGACACACCTTTTGAACTAAGGTTGAAGGTGGTAATTAAGTGCGTTGTTCTATCTAGGTTATTGAGAACGAAGGCCTGATGAAAAGCAAAATATCCTAGTATTTCATGCAAGAACATGACAGCTGCTAGAGTAGAAGAATCCGGCCTGGAGTAGAGCTGTCAGCGGCGGCCGTTCGCCGGAGTTTGTGGCCGGACGCCAAACGCTTTCGCGTGTTTGCGCCCAGAAGCATGCACTGTTTCGGCCAGATTAACTGGACGAGCGGGTGAGAGCGAGCATTCATCCAGAAGCTTTAATTAAAAGAAATATCAACTCTACTCGAGGAAGCGCCCAAAATTTGGGCTTTGCCCAGTTGCGGTAACTGCCGTTCCAAATTTGGACGAGTTAAATACATTAGAAGTCTTATAACTTGCGCGCGACGATCAGTTTGGTGCACGAACTTGCAAAATATGTGTTTCTGGTCATTAAACTTGTGCGGGTGTGCAAATACGGTCATATTTCCCGTACGTGGATGTATTTGCTGCCTACGTGGCAATGCCAGTGTAGCAAGGGCCCATTGTCAGTGCCTAGTGAACGTGATGTTTTTCTGCAAAAACACCCTCATTTTTTTACTTTGTACAAAAGCACTCCAACAATAGTTGTCCGCTGGGTCTCAGCCGTCAGTATTCGCTGTAAAAACATTTGGCTGGGAAAAAAAGGGACGGAGCGAGTTTGAAACTACAAACTGTTGTAATGGCGCTAACAACCTAACCACCTCAACTGATCGTGCTTGCTGTTTCATTTGGACTACTAAGGTATATCACCTCTTGGATAAAAGTACACATTCTGAATATATTTTCTTTTCTCTACATTTTCCAATTCAAAATGATTCAGATTCAAACAAAATTTCCACTGATTTGTTTGAAAGAAAATTACATACATCCTTCTGCACAACATTTTCTTTTATCTAGATTTTTAATTTAAAATTCGAATTTAAAGAAAAAATTATTTGATTTTTCCGGGAAAAAATTACGTAAATTCATTCGGACCTGTATTTTCGTTTATCAAGATTTTCCAATTTTAATATATTCGAATTCAGACAAAATATCCAGTGATTTGTTCGAAAGAAATTTGCGTACATTGATTATGAACTGTATTTCTTTTATATAGCTTATTCAAATTCAAACAAAAATTAGATGATTTGTCCAAACAATACTTACATTCATTCTGAGCCACATTCCTTTTCTCTAGATTTTCAAATTTCGAATTATTCGATTTGAAACAAAGTTTTTCTGATTTGTCCCCATAAAATGTGTATATTCATTGTGCACTATATTTACTGTGCACTATATTCACTTTTCCATATTTTTAATTTTTAAATTACTTGAATTCAAGCAAAAAAAAGTTAATTTCTCCAAAAAAATTATGTACATTATTTTTTACATATAATTTTTTATCTAGATTTTCGAATTTATAATGAGTTCTGTTGATTGTCCGAAAGAAATTGATGTATATTCATTATGAACTATATTTTATTGTAAATAGAAAAAAGAAAGAAGAATACATAAGATAAATTGTGTTTATCTATTTAAATGTCATTGTGGCTGATGTTTTTTTAACTCATTGTGGCCGGATGGTTGGTGCTCCCACACGCGGCGAGCTTATGTGTTCATAGGTTCTTCTAAAAAATGTGATCATAGGTTCGAACCGGTGCCTTCCCTTTTTCTCGTTTTGGTTTCTATTTTAGCTCGTACTATCTTTTTTTAAGGCCGCACAATATTTCTTATATAAAGCTAATTGTGCTCCAAGAGTGTGAACAATATATAGGTCAATTGGTTATCGAAGCGTGGCGGATCGTAGCAGGTGTTCTGTTCGAATCCCAATATTCGTTCATCATTTTTCATTTTATTTGAGGATTTTTTTGCATAAATAAAAAAAATGCAAGGGTGCTTCCTGAAGAAAAAAGATAGTGCACACGGGTTACCCATCGCTGACAATGGACCCCTGCCATGTAGGCACGCCATGTATTGACATGATACAGCTGAATACGGTAGAAAGCACCGTATATGAACGGAGGGACAAGTTAGATGACCAGAAACACGTATTTTACAAGTTTATGCATCAAACTAACCGTCGCGTGCAAGTTCTATGACTTGCAGTGTATTTACCTCAATTTGGACCGTCTTAACTTAACCCGGTGGTAGCACATTGATTGCGAATTTGTCGAGTCACTAATAACTGCAGTGATTTAATGGGGACGCCAGCTAGCTACTACCTCCGTCCCGGTGTATAAGTCATTCGCGTAGTTCTAGGTCGATAATTTAACTATCTAAATATGTATTATATGTGACAAAAAATATATATTTAGAAACTACATCCGCGTGAAAATCTACTGATATACTTTTCATGACATATAACACATATTTAATTCCTCAATCGATGACCTAGAACTACGCGAATGACTTATACACCCGGACAAAGGGAGTAATTAAGTTTCTCTAGATGATGATGAGGCGCCGGTGAGTAGTCGTTGCGTTTAGCAGGCCGGACCACGTAACATGTGCACGTACGTCCACCGGCACCCTGGAACGAACTCTGGGGCGCAGACCGCATGCATGGGTGCAGAACGGATGGAGCGATCCGGGCGGTCGGGTGCTCCCGGGGACGGCCGGGGCCGAGGTGTGGTGGTACGAGGGAGGGAAACGCGAAAGGCATTGGCGTGGAGTGCTGCGCTGGGTCCGCCGCCCATGCACCAGGGAATGTGGGTTCCGTGGCCAGGAGGAGCCCGATCAGGACCATCCGTCCGTCCGTCCCCAGGCCAGGTGAATCCGTGGCGCCAGGGAAGGGGCAGGGGTCCACGCGGTGCACGCCTGCCTCTGCCCGCGCGAGCGCAACCGCCTCCTTCCTTGGCCGAGGCTCGAGAGAGATGCCTCCGCGCGCCTTGGCAGTTGCATGTCGACCTGAGTTGCCATTTGTTTCACATAGAAGAAGATGGCACAAAAAATATTCTTTTTACATGTGATGTTCATGTAATTTGTCATGGTATATAAACAGAATTTACCATGCTTTGTTCAACAAATTTTCTATGCTTCAAAAATAATTTACAAAACAGATTTTATTATGGTGTATGCGGGCGAGAATTAGCAAAATCCCGCCCCAAACAGAACCACCGGAGCGTGGCAACCCTGATCTTGACGGCCTGGCGTGAACCTGAATGCGCACTGACCCGCAGAGGTCTCTCTGAACCGAACGCTCCCAGGACACTCATAAGCGGCGGCTCTAATCATCACGTCGCCGGAGACGATCGACTGCGGCCATGGCCGCGGCGCGGCGGTGGCGGCGAAAATGTAGGACGCGGGACGCAGTGCTGGCGCTGCTCATCGCCTCGGTGCTCGCGCCCCTCGCGCTCTACAGCGGCGCACCCATCTCCCCCTTCTCCGGCCCCGCCCGTACGCCTCTTGCCCTTGCCCCTTCGTTCGCAACGGAGTGCCCACCGAACCCGTCCCTGACGCGTGTGTGTTCTTGGTGATTTTCGCAGTGACAGGGAGCGCCTTCGGCCCTGATCCCTCCAATTTGGTATGGCCGCGTTTGGGAATTTCTTCATGTTACTGAAAGGCTTTCGGAGGTCGACTGAAGCTTTGCGGTCCTGACGTGTTTCCCTTTTCGTAGATTTCCCGGAACGAGGCGGGGAAGCGCCTGAACGCTCTGCCGCAGGTGAATTTCTTCTTAGATATGCGTCCATTTGTTCTTCTTCTTCCTAAATGAATGTGAAAGGTTGTCATCTGAAGTTTGTAGTGCTGAATATATTCCTAGGACACATTTGATCCTGTGCCGAAGGATGCATCGGATACAGGAGCGAACAATGTGGGCGATCAGGGTACTCAACTGGGACAGAATGGTGGAATTCATCAAGTTGTCATGGGAAGCAATATAGAGATGTCAGGTGAATCCAGGGTTAGTAAGGACAGCGGAGTGCGCAATGTAGAAGAGGCGAAGGTGTCGTCACATGATATGAGTAAGAGAAAACGAGCTGATGGCGTGGTTATTACTTCGGAGGAGGGTGCTCAGCTCACCAAACAGAGTGGCCTGACCAATTTTGGTGCAGCCGGGGATAACAAAGTTCGTGCAATGCACAATGCTGGAGATCTAAATGTCCAATTGGACAAGGTAATGACTGTTTTGTTTTTTGGAAACTAGAGCTGTGCATACATTCCTGCTCATCAATTAAAACTTATAGGTGTTACATTTGTACATAAATAACTCTGAATTATGTGAACAGACAAAATCCTTATTACCGGATTAAGTCTAGGCTTATTGAGGCATGGTTTATTACATTCTGTCACTAACAGAGTCATCCTAGGTCAACATTCAGTTTGCAGTTTCTGCTGTGCTGCCGGGCTGGTGGCCTCATGGAATATCAAATTTTCGTCATGACTAATCTCAAAGTACTCCCTCCAAATTTGAACAGAAACCACGACAAGTATTTTGGAACGGAGGGAGTACTATTTGTTTCACTTCTTTGCGGTTCTTATGTTTATTAGCTTTCCTTCTTGTAACTAATTGTAGGCGCATCTCCTTTCCATTTATTGAGGCAACGAATCCTTTTGGTTTTGTTCTTACAAATGCTTTCTTTGTAGAAACACTAATTGAAGAGAACCTGCCGTTTACTCCCTGTTGTGGACTTGCCTATCATTTAGGCTTTGTTATTGCTCTGCAGTCTTTTTTCTTCAACATATTAATAGATAATAAACCAGTGGTGGTGTATTTTAGGGAAAAAAAGAACTTGGAAAATATTATTACGAGTCACTTATTGAGAGAAGCTTTCTATACCTAGCTTTTTGTGTAATTTATAGAATTAATCTGCAGCTTTTAGTTTTCACAGGCTGACAGTATACTTTTTCTTTTGGCATTAGGTAATGATTTAACCAATAGTGATTTGATTTTCCAGAATGATGAAAAATCATCTCAGCAAATTACAGACTCTACGTCAAAAGAGTCTGGTGCAATGATAACTAGTAGTAATACTAGTTATTCCCCAACTTCTTCAGATAAGACGATACTCGTTCTCAAGGACCAGTTGAGAAGAGCGAAAGGATACATTGGATTTTTACCTTCTAGAGGCAATCATGGGTTTGTAAAGGATCTCCGAAGAAGGATGAGGGATATCCAGCAAGCACTGAGTGGTACAACCATTGATAGGCAGTTACCAAAGAAGTACTTCTCTTTCTTTGTATTAAAAAGTATTTCACCCTTGGTGTTGAGTGATGATGCGTACCTGCTGTTTTGGTTACTCTTTTATAACAAGTGACCGGCTCTTAACTATTTAACCCAATTTTATTGTTTACAGTGTCCATAAAAAAATTAGAGCGATGGAATTGATATTAGCAAAGATCAAACAAGTCCATGACAACTGTGCAGCTGCCATTGATAAGCTACAAACAAACCTTCACTGGACAGAGAACCAGCTCGAGGCTAACAAGCAAGAGGCTACCTACGCAGCACAGGTAGCAGCTAAAGCTCTGCCAAAGAGGCTTCATTGTCTTGCGCTGCGGCTTACAAATGAGTACTATACATCCAGTTCCAACAATAAGCATTTTCCATATCAAGACAAGTTGGAAGATCCGAAACTACATCACTATGCATTATTCTCTGACAATGTACTTGCCGCCGCTGTGGTTGTGAACTCAACTCTTATACATGCTAAGGTATATTGTTTGGTGCAGAAGGGAGCACGCATAACTAATTAGGTGCTTACATCATTGCAAGTAAACTTATGGTGCAGTGACCATTTTCAGAAAATTCAAATTCATTTTACATGTACCAAGTACTAATATCTTAACCTAAATAAAATGCAGAAACCAGCAGACCATGTCTTCCATATTGTGACTGATAAACTTAATTATGCTGCAATGAGGATGTGGTTTTTGGCGAATCCCCCGGTTAAAGCTGCTATTCAGGTCCAGAAAGTTGATGACTTTACATGGCTAAATTCGAGCTACAGTCCAGTTCTGAAGCAACTGGCGTCCCAGTTCATGATCAATTACTACTTCCATACTCCACAGAATAAACCTGATAGAAACCCCAAGTTCCGGAACCCCAAGTACCTGTCAATTCTCAATCATCTGAGGTTTTATCTTCCTGAGATCTTCCCAAAACTTAACAAGGTGTTATTTGTCGATGATGACATTGTAGTCCAGCAGGACTTAAGTCCACTTTGGTCGGTAGATCTCAAAGGCAGGGTTAATGGTGCCGTCAAAACCTGTGGTGAGATTTTCCATAGGTTTGATAGGTATCTCAACTTCTCAAACCCTCTTATCGCCAAGAAATTTGACCGACGTGCATGTGGGTGGGCATATGGCATGAACATGTTTGATTTGTCTGAGTGGAGAAGGCAGAATATTACTGCTGTGTATCACTACTGGCAAGAACAGGTGAGTATTCGTGAGCTTCTCAACGATATTTAAAGTGAGCCCTCAACTTTATATTTCGCATGAGCTCCGACAACAAGTAAAATGAAAATTGCATTTCTTTCTTTCCGTATGAGCATTATTTATTTGCCATTGATCCCTTTTATTTAAGTACTGAACTATGTTGGAGCTGAGTATGTTTTTGCTATTCTGTTCTACTCTTGCCATATATTCCACAAAGCACATGTTTCTCATTCTGCAGAATGAACATAGACTGTTATGGAAGTTAGGAACACTCCCTGCTGGCCTGGTGACATTCTGGAACAACACCTTCCCTCTCGATCGCTCATGGCATCTCTTGGGCTTAGGATACAAGCGGAATGTCAACCCAAAGGATATCGATCGGGCTGCAGTCATACACTACAACGGGAATCTGAAACCTTGGCTTGAGGTTGGGTTGCCAAAATACCGCAATTACTGGTCCAAGTATGTCATTTTCGATCACGCGTTCGTAAGGGAGTGCCACATACATCCGTGAGTTGCTGCTGCGGAATCCTGTGCATAGTCTGCTGAGATGGTTTCAGGTTTTTTGTAGCTCTGTAGGGCGTCTCTTCCTTGGTATCCACATTATCTAGAGCGTTGGTTTGCTGACTAAATCACAGTGCAAGCAAGTCGTAGCAGGCCTTGGAATAAAATGTGCAGTAGAGGCTAGAGCCAACAGTGCTGTAGAGGTCAAATCTGTAGTAGGTTTGTTCTATTGGTTCTTTCTGATGCTACTGCTTTTTGTAGGAGTGGTAAAAAAAATTAGCTTTTGTTTGTCAACCCTAGTTCTGTTTGGTCTGGTCAGCATGCATATCTTACCCAGTTAAGTAGCTATACGAAATGAGTTTGCTTGCTACTGGTAAATTCACACCGCTCAAGCGATATTAGTATCGTCATGCGCTGTCTAACAGATCTTGCAACAGACACAAACATTACTCGTTACTCCACCATTCTAAAACTCTCCACCATGGCCATCAATGGCCGTGAAGACAGCTTCAATACGAGTAACGGAGTCCTGGGAGTAATCTACAGTAACCAACAGCGTTACCGCGCTGGTTTAATCTGCAAGTGAGACACGGACACCTTGCTCTACAAATACTGCACTGTGTACTACTGACACAGCACAGCAGCATTGCAGAGTTGCGTGCGTGCGTACGTACAACCGCCACCTCGTGCTGCACGCAACAATGGCGGGCCACTCGTGCTCGGTCCTCCGCCTTTGCCTCCCGATCCTCGTCCTCGTCGTCGGGCACGCCGTGTCGACGACGGCCGCCGCGGCGGCAGAGGCCCCTGGGCACCGCGGCCGCCCGGTCGCCCCCGACTGCTGGAAGACCGTGATGGAGACGCCGGTGCCGTGCGCGCGCGACATCATCCGGACGCTAGTCCGGGGCGTGCCGCACCTCAGCAAGGAGTGCTGCGTGGTGCTGGGGCAGGTCGGCGAGAAGTGCGTCGTCGACGTGTTCTCCCGCCTCCACTTGGGCGCCGCCTACCTCCCCGTCGTCAACCGCATTTGTGGCTTGCTCTCCGGCGTCGTTGCCTAGGCCCTATGCTATAGCTCCTGCTTTCGAGTGGCACGCACGGCGTACTGAACAATTCCATGCACGCAACAATAACAACAACAACAAAATGGGTGTTTTTTTTTGATTGGAGAACACCGCATAAAACTCACTCAGGATTCGCCTCTTGTACCTCCTCTGGGCATCTTCATCCTCACTGTCCACATCGCCAGACAACACCTATACATATAGTAAAACAAATTTGGCATCAAATCACTGATTACATGCCGTGAAGTAGGATTAGAAATTTATGGCTATTTATTTATACATATTTAGAGATTATGATTCAATCTTTAAGCACAGTCGTCTATGTACAGACCAATCTTGAAGAAAATAATGGCACAAACATATGTAGGTCATTCAAAATCAATTGTCAAGTCCTGGTTAGGAATTATTAGCACGAACACTAACCCTAGTCGGATTACTAGCAGAAATTATTTGCACAGATGAAACAACTAATCACTTATCACCTGTACCATTCAAACAATCAATATACTACACGGATCTAACGAAACTTACTCAGATTTCATGGATTGGGAGAACATAACCACATGATTTCTATTCCAAAAAGGGGGAGGCAGGAGTAACCAAAGAAACCCTATGATCTATTTGATACATAAATGGGTATAGATTACTAACCAGCTGTCCGTCTTTGTCGGAGTCATCGCCGGAGTGGTTGTCGGAGTCGTCGCCAGAGTGGTCGTCGGAGTCATCGCCGGAGTGTTCGTCGGAGTCATCACCAAAGTGGTTGTCGGAGTCGTCGCCGGAGTGGTCGTCGGAGTCGGTGTGGAACTCCGCCTCCGGCTGTGGAAGCTCGACGCCGTCGATGACGTCAGGGTGCAGCGATAACTCGCCAGCGGTGACGGCAACCTCTGTCTCCATCTCCACGCCGTGCTCCGGTGCTTTAGCAGCCTCGGAGTTGCCACTCCCTCCGATGGGGCGCTTCGGCGGCATCCTCATACACTGACGACTTTGAGGACTGAGAGCGGCGTCGAGGTTGCAAGCGGAGAGAGAGAATTGTGTGTGCGTAGCGATGATGGGTGGTGTGGCCGCTCGGGCGCACCATTAATATGGAGTAGTGGGAGTTGTGGGAGAGAGGCGGGCGGCGGTCAAACCGATGGCTCGCCTCCCGGTGAGCCTACGCACCGGACTGCTGGCATGCCTACCAAAGTTTCACACAACTACTCGCACGCTTCCCAATGACACTGCACAACGAGCACGCCTCCGTCAATTCACACACCTGCACACACGCCTCCCCGTCTACCTGCACGGCGGACTACTCCCATGCGCCCCGTCAACTCACGCCTGCTCGCACGCCACACGGATCGCACAGCGGCACGTATATTGTTTTTCTATTTGGATGATTAATGCTGTCGCTTTATTGCTTAACCGAAGCATGGCACATATCCATTGTTGGTCTAACGCTCACGGTTCGAATAAATAATCCGTTTGGGATATTGGTTCCCAATTATTAATAATATCTCATCTGTAATTAGATAAAGATTACATCAAAACTGGTCTCAAATTTGACAAAAAAGTACAATGCCACTTTGTATTGGTGTCCACATGACAACATGATAAGTTTCATGAAGTTCAAATAAGTTTTGGATGTAGTAGAATTTAAAAATCAAAATTCTCAATGTTTGAAATTTGTTGCACGGGGAGTAAACATGCACCTAGTGAGACACATGTGTTTTTGCAATCCATTTAGGTGCACTGTCACGTGTGCATGTAGCTCAAATTTGATTTTTGCATATTATACCCATAGAAAATCAATCAATCAATGCATTAAAACGTTTTAATGATCTCTGTGAATTTTTTTAAATTAAAACGTCCCTCCTTTGGTAACATGTATGTTCACCGTGGGATAATTAATTTAACATGCATCGTAGTTACGGTGGATTCGCGGTGTGTGTGTGGGTGTGTGCGTCTGGGGATGGCGGGTGGCTCGCAGTACACTGCGAGTTGTGAGCCACTGTGTGGGTTGGCCATTTTGTTAGGTAGGTTGGTGCCACATCAGAGTCGTGAAATCGTTATTTAAAACATTACCCAACCCTTTCATACATAATTTTTTTGGCCACATGCAGTCGATGGTTGTCCTACACGACACTCGATACTCGCGTGTGACGCTTTCTGTGGGCCCACGAGGTTGTCGTCCATCACTTTGACGAACAACCGACAGTGTGGTTAATTTGACCAGCAAGGTGTAATATTTTTTGTTTATGTTATGGTGGTATATAGTACGCGTCGAAGAGGTGGGAGGGGACTAGCATATATACTATACGTATGCGTCCGTGAACAAGTACACCTCACTTAGTGTTGGGACTTTTTGGTTACCAAGGCACATGCCACATCAAAATTGAGAAATTGGTTATTCAAACATCACACAACATCTTTTTGGGCCACATGCATATATATCCTAGCTAGGACACTCACGTGTGACGCTTCCATCTGTGGACCCATGAGGCCATCATCGATGCATGCATGCATGCATCACTTTGACCTACATCGAGAGAGGTTAATTAATTTCATCGTCGATGAGGATTCTTTTGGGTTGTACATATATTACGGCAGGAGCATATAGTATGCAGTGAAGAGGGGGGAAGGGGACCATCATATGTAGTACGCTTGATATGAACCTCGCTATGTGTGGGTGCATGGTTTACGGTTTTTGAGGCATGTGGCACATCAAAGTTATGCATTTTGGGTATTCAACATATATATGTTTGGCCCACATGCAAAGCGGTGGTGGTTGTCCTCTCGCACCCACTTAGGCGGTTATCAGCGATATCGATGCTTTCCATCTGTGGGCCCGCTTGGTCCATCACTTCTTTTTGCCTGACAACAAGAGAGCTTAATTTGACTTAGGAGGGGATTATTATTTTTGCTCTGGGATGACATGCATGATACACTTTGAGCACACACATATGCATGTGTACGCATGAATCCGTCCCATCGAGTCGAAGTGGCTAGTACAATGATACCATCATGAACCGATCTCGCTCTGTGTGGGGAGCTAGTGTATGATTTTTGACACACACACCATATCAATGTTGTGTATTCAAACATGCATGCACGCATCACCTCCATACATATGCATATAGTGGTTGCCTTCGAACGATACACTCTCTCGCGTGATTATCAGCGACAAGCCTATATATTCGTGGGCCCGCGTGGACATCCATGATCACCTTGACCAACAACAAGATAGGTTACCATGGTGGATTCTTCATTTGGTTAGTGTTATTGTAGTATAGGTCATGGTGAGATTCAGACCTAATTAAGTTTGAGCGCATATACTATGCACGCATGCATGCATATATAAATCCCCCGTTGGAAATATGCCCTAGAGGCAATAATAAAATGATTATTATATTTCCTTGTTCATGATAATTGTCTATTATTCATGCTATAATTGTATTATCCGGAAATCGCAATACATGTGTGAATACATAGACCACAATGTGTCCCTAGTGAGCCTCTAGTTGACTAGCTCGTTGATCAACAGATAGTCATGGTTTCCTGGCTATGGACATGGGGATGTCATTGATAACGGGATCACATCATTAGGAGAATGATGTGATGGACAAGACCCAAACCTAAGCATAGCACAAAGATCATGTAGTTCGTTTGCTGTAGCTTTTCTAGATGTCAAGTATCATTTCCTTAGACCATGAGATTGCGCAACTCCCGGATACCGTAGGAGTGCCTTGGGTGTGCCAAACGTCACAACGTAACCGGGTGACTATAAAGGTACATCACAGGTATCTCCGAAAGTGTCTGTTGGGTTGGCATGAATCGAGACTGGGATTTGTCACTCCGTATGACGGAGAGGTATCTCTGGGCCCACTCGGTAATGCATCATCATAATGAGCTCAATGTGATCAAGTGGTTGATCACGGGATCATGCATTATGGTACGAGTAAAGTGACTTGCCGGT